TTTATACTTTACAATTAATTAGTGTTAGATTAATTTAGTGGAAAAGATTACACCTTCAATTCTAAGGTTGGAGTTTAATTCCGAGCACCTTCAATTTTAAGGTCGGGGTTCAATCCCGAGTCGAGACACTTTAAAAATAGGATCCCTTCCTTCTTTCATTGGAACAAGGCTTCTATCATTCTATGTCAAAACTTAAAACCCTTCTAAAACCCCAATTTGACAAAACAAAGAAATTCACACACAAAATGATACATCACTCGATACCACGCTTACTGAAGCTTTCAACCAACAACAACCGTCTAATTTCTGGCGCTTCTCAGATTTCCCGGCATCTTTCAACCTCTCCGCCGGAAAAATCACCCGCATTTCGCCGGAAATTCAATAAACATAAGCTTTACACTAGATTATCGAATGTGTGGTCCACCGGCGAGAAAATTTCCGATGTTTTGGATAGTATATCAGAAAAATATTCCCAAAAAATTAACAAATTTGATCTTATTCATTGCATTAAGAAATTCCGTAAGTTTGGCCGCTACGACCATTGCCTTGAGGTAATTTAGCTTATAAATTTATTGTTTTTGTTGATTATAATTGCTATATTTGTTAATTGGGTATTAGTAGATATTAAAGATCGAAGCTTTATTTGTTTGATTATGATTATGATTATGACTTTATTATGTGGAAATTAATAGTTTGTTTTTATTAAAATTTGTTATGTTTCTAATTGGGTATTATTAGAAATTAAAGATTGAAGCTTTCATTTGTTTAATTATGATTTTGATTCTATTGTCTGTGAATTTAATTGAGTAATTTGAAGTATGTGGGATTATTCTCCGGTGCTTAATGTTTCAGTGTTTAATTTCTTATATTGCCATTTTTGTATAATATAATGAGTTTTCGTGGCCCCATTTGTCTCATAGGGTTTTGGTGTTCATATTGTATATTGTGAAATGTGAATGAAGTCATGAACTCATGATTGGTGACTATTATCTTTACTAGATGACGATTTTTTTAAGAAATATAGTCCCTATGTTTAGATTGAGCATTTGTATTGCTATGTCTTCGTGTTCGTGTTTAAGCCTTTAGGTGCTTGCTTGTATGAATGTATGTGTGCTTGACATGTTACTATGATAGTGATGGTTGGAGAAGAGTTTTATCACTTGTGATGTTGTGGAACTGAATCTTGTGATGTTGCTTCATACAGATCCTTGAATGGATGGAGAAGGAAAAATTTGAGTATGAGTATGCGTTGCGTTTGAATATACTTTGTAAAAGTTAAGGGTATTTGCGAAGCAGAAAAGTACTTTGATAGTCTTCCTCCTGAAGTGAAAAAAAGGCTTTGTATATGGAGCTCTTTTGAATTGTTACTGTACTGAAAAGATGACTGACAAAGCATTGGCTATTTTCGAAAAGATGAATGAGATGAAGTATACCAATGATTTGGAATTCAGCAATCTTATGGGTCTCTTTATGAAAGTAGGCGAGCCAGAGAAAGTGCCTCTTCTTGTAGAGGAAATGAAGCGGAGAAACATCCCTTTAAGTCTTATCTCCTACCAAACATGGATGCATAGCTATTCATGTTTAAATGATCTCGAAGGTGTAGAACGAGTTATGGACAAGGCTCAAAGACAGGAAAATATTAAAGATGAGTGGAAACTATACTGCAACTTCGCCTCAGCATATGTCAAAGCTGGTCAGCATCAGAAAGCTGTTCCATCCTTGAAAAAGGTGGAGGAAATTTTGGGTGATTCAAACTATCCTGATCGTATTGGATATCATCATTTGATTAGCCTGTATGCTGGTGTTGGTGATTTAGAGTCTGTCATTCGGGCATGGGATAAGATGAAGTCAAAGTTTCCAGCTTGTAACAACTTAAGCTACCTTACTATGCTTCATATTCTATCAAAGCTAGACAATGTTGAGCTTCTGAAAAAGTACTTCCAAGATTGGAACACTAAGTATAAGAGTTTTGATCTCAGGCTCCCAACTATTGTTATAGTTGCTTACTTGAGGCATGATATGCTCGAGCAGGCTGAACTATTGCTGAAGGATGTTACAGATAGATCTGGAAATAAAGTATGGAAAGTCCATGCCCTTTTCATGGATTATTTCCTGGGGAAACGCCAGATCGATTCTGCTTTGAGGCATTTGGAAAAGGCGATGACTAACCAATGGAAGCCACTTGCTGGGAGTTTTGATCCTTTTATTGAGTATTTAATTGAACAGAAGGATGTTAACAATGCTGAACAATTTTTCCATTTGATTAAGAAAGATCAATCTCTCCTTTCGACTGCCTACTTGGGATTGCTTCAGATCTATGCAGCTGCAGGAAAAATAGCCCCTGAAATGCGTGAGAGGATGGAGCAAGACGGAGCAAATATTGGAACTGAGCATGAGGAATTGCTTGAGAAGGTATGTCCTAATTGAGTTCAGCTGTGGAGTGTTCTTAAGCTCTTGTATTTCAGTTCATGATCCAAATGGCTTTGTGACATTGGGAAGTTATATTTAATATGGTAGAATTTTTCGTTCTCTTCGTATTCTTTATAATCAGGGCTGGTAGATTTCTTAGGTGATGTAAACTATGAATCTAGATGATAACTGATGGGGATTGATCTATGATGTGTCATTGAGCCTCAGTTCTCTTTATTTTCTTCAATTTTGATGAAGAATGCAGACAAGGTCAAACTTGCAATAGTCTAACATGCATACTTTTTTATATATATGTTTCATTTCATCGGATACTGACTAATTTATGTATTCTAGAAGGATAATGGTAATGCAGACACCATTCTGTGATCTAGAGCTGAGGTTCATTCATGTCTAGAATTCTTTTGACAGTACAATTAGTTCCATATCCTTCTTGGTTATACCAGCATGTGTTGTTGAATGGTTGATGCCGGGTCTTGATTTGCAGCTCATGCTGAATAAGCATATTTCTTCGTCTTGTTGATTTGCGATCTACATCTTTCATTCTAATCATTTTCTTCCCCAAACGTGGTGTTTGGAAGACACATTAAACGCATTGCGAACTTTTATGATAGGCTGTTGATTTTCTGTGTTTTGGATGATTTTGCATGAACGTTAATGAGAGCTTGTGTTTAGACAAGGCATGGGAATGGAGGTCATGAACTCTATTTTTAAGTATGAAGGTCCTCTCAACTTATTGCCAGCCCATCCTCCGATCCCCTAACCTTGGTTTCTGTACTGGATACCACTCAGTGGTATTGCCCCTGAGCCTATAACATTTTTGTATTGGCTTATTTGTATGAAGAAAAACAATGGGTGAGAGAGGACAAGATAACAGGGTGGAATAAGCAAATATGAAAGAAGATCCAGGCTTCTTCTTCCCCTATGTTAGGTACTTGCTTTTGATTTATTTTCAAATTTGGATTTTTAATCTTACATGCCTTTTGGTTTGAAATAACTGCTAAACAACATAGTTGCAAGAGCAGGGCAACATCTTATGCATACATGTCAAGATGGTCATAGTTTATAGAGAGTAGTGAACTCCTTAATGGGAGAATGCCAGCCAAAAAAAGGTGCCTGTACTTATAAAAGTGATAAAAGTTAGAAGCATCTGTCTTGGCATCTGTTGCTAACACCGAACAGTCTACTCCTGGGTTTGGATTTAGATTTTGTGATTGTTGATCAGATGGAAAATGTAAGAAGCCTTCCAGTCGCCTCAGCTTATATTAAGGCTGGGAAATTTGAACTTTTTCAAAATTGAACATTCCTGACATGTGCATATCACCGCCTTATAGTAATGTAGAGTATTTCAGTCAGATAAGTCAAATCTCAAAGCTCTTCAAGGCCAAAATACTTTAATTATGGCCACCTTGTTGTGCTATGCTGAGAGTGCTGTCAAAGCTATATGATATCAAGAATTCAAGAGTCGGCAAAAGTGTTTCAAGGATTGGTAGTTGAGGTACATGAGTTTCCATGAACTGGTACCAGTTGTGATTGATGCTTGCCTGCTTGAAGAGGATCAAGTTCTGCTTACAGAGTCTACAGATAAGGCTTGATATGAAATGCTCAACGTTCATGCTGTGTTGTAGATTTATCAGATTGACTCTGCTGTAAGATTTTTGGATGTGGCAGAACTCTAATTTGATGGAGGCCAGTAAAAGAGGTGCTTCATCTCGTGTGGCAAAGAAGAGAAGGTACCAAATAGTAAAGTCTGGATTCTCGATTGAAGTGCCTGCTAGAAACTGTTTCAGACCTGTGCTCTGTAACCGATGTCTAGAATCTATCTATCAGTGGATGGAAGAAGATGGTGCAACAATTGGACGTAACACAAGAAGATGCTTTGAAAGGTATGCCATAATTGATTTAGGACTTTAGGAGTAAAAACATCTGACCTCCTGTGAATTTGGTATTTGGGTGAAAAAAAAAACTTTGTAATATGCAATTCAGCAAACATTTTCCTAGAACTGTGGTTGGCTCATGGATACACTGTTAAAACCTCTTAAACCTTTGCTAGCTGCTGTTTCTTAGGTAGCAATACCAGCAACTAAACACGATACTGAATCACTAATGCATATAATTCCATTCTGCTAAAGCATTTCAAACATAGATCAGCTTCCGATGTTTGTTCTGCTTTCTTACTACTGTGACAACAGGCGAAGCATCACTGCATCAGCCCTTTGATTGTAATTGGTCTTGTCCACTTTATTTCATGTATATTGTATACCTGGATTCTGAAATTATTATTCCGATCCTTTTTTTCTTTCCATGCATTGAGAGATTACTTGATTGATCTCATGATTTTACATAAGATATTTTCATCTAAATTTCTTGTCTAATTATTACTCTTGTTGAGCACATACATGAGAAAGTGCACCCTTAAGTGAAAATGTCTATTTACCTATAACTAGTTCCGATAGGTAGCAAAAAATCCACGACACCTTTAGTCAGTGTAACCTACAGTTTGAACTCGAATAAGATGAGCATCAATAATCCAATATTGTGCCCTTATTAGTTTAAACTTGTGGGCTTGAATAGGCACCAAATTAAGGCTCAATTACCAAACTATTGACAAGCCTAACAACACCGTAGATCATAGTACTTTGTATGTAGTATAATTTACGAGTGCAAGGAGATCTATTTCTAGCATAATCAAATTTACCACAGGTACAAGTACATTCTTACATGAGTTACAAATATGCACAAAATTTTCAAGCCCAAAGAGCAAGTATTGACATAGAAGCAGAACCAAGAACCAGAGCAATATAACAACCCTTTTTCATCTTCGTCTCTGAGCTCATCAACTTGTTATGGAAGAAATCTGCAGATATTAGGTCGACTAGAGCCATGTATATGAGTATACCGGATGATAGTGAACCTAGCAAACCCTCAGAAATCAACGCGTTAGCACTGCTGTCATCGTACCCTGTCAGCGCAAAAATTATCATCCCCAAAATTATCCCCACTGGCGTCGTTACTGAAAACATGAAGCACATATAGGCTGTTGTCTTGAAGCTGAATCCTGCCTGGTAGATGGTATCAACACATTCTTAATTTAGTGCTACTTCTATTAATATACATAAATGCTCTATAGTTACATTTACTATTTTGAGATGAAAATTGATTATATAAACTGATAGAACATGCATCATAATCAATGAAGTATTATCCAAGACCAATTCATGATGCAAACTGAGGAAATTGTACACATGACATAAGCATTACCTAATAAGTTAGGAACAAAATCATACAGTAAATCAAAGAGACTACTCTATATTTTGACGATCACTTAATTTGAGCAATAACATTTTGAGAATCCAATCATAAATCATATATTATTCTTGTACACCATTTCTTATTAGGAAAAGTAACAACTTTTTCATGAAATACTAAAATAGTGTTTTGCGATGATTAACTACGGACATAAGATATTAAGATGTGTGTAAAATAACAGCTACGTGAACAAGAGTGTGATAACACAAGATTTGCCGAATCAAGCACTAAATTAAGGAAGGCTATCCGTAGATAGACTAATAAATTCAAGCATACTTTCTACGGTTTTTCATTTTGCTTTTAAAAACTACCACAATGTGGGTAAATTAATATTGTTTGTAGATAAGATGAAGGATTTTATTAGATCTGAACCCCCTCAAAGACGATAATGTAAATTAATGGTCAATGTTACTAGTCATTATAATCTTTAATTCCATAGTGCAACCCCACAAATTACAAAAGATGAGGTCCCATTTTATTTTCTCGTCAAAATAAGTGACTTTTTGAATCACGGCACTTCAAGCATTGTAGTATTGTGACTAGTCTATCCACTATCAACTTCCTATAATAGAACCCCAACATACACTCCTAACTTATATAGTGATTTAGTGATTCCACCACTAATTTATGTGCCATACAAAATTACAATCTATATGCCTATTGTCACACAAATTTAATCACATCGTGACCAAAAAAAAATTAGGTCGTGTACTTGTATTTGGTCAGGTAAAATATAACAATAGATAAGAAAACACGACAATAATGTTCCTAGAGACAAAACATCAACAACTTCGTACTAGGTAAATTGTTTAATGTAACCGTTGTATAGTAAATCTTTCTACTTCCTAATTGTATTGCCACGGCCTAATATAACAACCAACAACCTATTTATAATCTTGTAAACACGTGTAATTAATAAATTTTGATTATAATTATAGTACCTGAGCAATGCAACCACCAAGTCCCATGCCTTCAAAAATTTGATGAAAAGAAAGAGCAGCAACAAGTGGTTTTATTGTACAAACATTTTGTGACATACCCATGGTCACCCCAATGATCACCGAATGAAATATTATTCCTATCTCCAACACTTGTGACACCATCCTCTGCCTCATTTTCTCCCTTGCCTCTTCCTCGGCCGCCTCGGCCGCCGCCACCTTCTCACTCTCTCTCTCCTCCACCACGTCACCATTCTCCCTCACCACCACCACCATCTCCACCTTCCCTTCCCCACTGCCACCGTGGCAGTGGGGGGCATCCAGCTGCGTATACCCCCCACGCGCGTGTACCTCCGCGTGGGAGGAATTCGCCGCGAGATCAACAAGTAAAGCCAGTAGCGCCCCGATAAGCGTTACGAGCCCCGCGAAGGGAAAGTCCTTCCAAGGGTGGCGCGTGGCAACCACGCAGTCACCCAACGCGTCGAAGGCGTCGGGTAGGACATGCACGAGTGAAGTTGACAAGATTACCCCTGCAGCGTAACACTTAATTACTAAAGTAGCCCTGTCGTAGGCTGGTTTTCCGGCGAAGGATTTCGCAAGAACAACTGGGAATGAAATTCCGGCGACGCTTGTAGCGAATATGACGAGAGTGGAGAGAAGCTTTATGTGAGCTGCCGACGTGCTGTTACGGCACTTGAGAGCACGCGCCACCGCGTTTACATCGCCGCACGTCGGCATGAGGAAGTCACGTGATGAGAGAGAAAAAGGTGGAGGAAGAAGAAGTGAAGAAGAAGAAGATGAAGAAAGAAAGAGTGAATGTTAGCCGTGGAAAAAGGGGTTAAATGAAGAGAGGAAGGAAGTTGGATTTTAATGGAGGTGGGGTCGGGTTTAAGAGAGCGGTTTTTAATTAAGGATGAAGTGGAAAATGTATGCCAAATTATTGGGCTTTTTATTATTTTGGGTGGTGTATTATTTTGGGTGGTGTTGTGTTTGTGTAGGTTGGTGTTGGGTTTTATTGGTTTGATGTGTGTGATTTCCATTGAGTTTATAAGTAACATGTTTTTATGTGTACATGATGATGTCAACTTTGTTTTATTGGGTTCTTTTATTCATGGACTTTTTTGTAATTATGGATGGACAAAATTACTTAATCGAAACTCTTATTTCATTTGTCAACACCTTAAGAAAAGCGAAAATTTTTGTTTACGCTAAAGACAATAGACATGAATTTTAAGAATTTTTGGTTGATTTATTTTTTTGTTTAATACAGTTTATAATAATTAACAGATAACATTAATTGAAAAAGAGAGTTAATGAAATATCTATGAAATATATCACATTGAATAGGTGGGTAAGTTGTTTTCTAGTATCGAAATTATTAGTTTGAGGGTAGCAGCGAAATTATTAATTTAAGGGTATTTTTTGCTGTGTTGATTAGCAAAATAGAAAAGAAGCGATTTCATCATTGTTTCTCCATATTGCAAATTTTATAGTTTCTTCACATACATATTAGTTTAAAATTTTGAAAAATGTTATTTCATAATCTTTAGATTTACAATGTGCTTTTTGTGAGGACAAATAAAATTTCAACTTGGAAAAGTATAGAGACATTAGAGTCATCTTTTTAAAGTTGAGGTCATTTGCATGAGCTTATAATATATACTTGTGTATGAGTATATCTCATATTCTCATGTGATAGTTACGTAGTGAATAGACTATCTATGAGTATTAGTAGATCCATTTTCTTGTGCAGCCCAATATGAGTAGGTTGAAAGATATGAAGTAGATTTTTTTTTTTTTTTTTTTTTTTTTGAACTATTGTTTGAAAAACTTATTTTTAACTTTATTTTTGTTCGAAATAATTGTCTGAATTTATTTTATCTTCTTTAAATTTATCCTTTTTTTTTTAGACAAAATTTTTCCTATCTAAGATAAAAAAAAACACTTTTCATTAAAATAAATAAATAAATAAAATTATATTGCGTACAAAAAAATATCACATCTTTTTTTCAGAGAAATTTTTTTTAAAAAAAATATCATATTGTTAGTAGTTTATGTAAATCCTATTAGTATTTGTTAATTTACTTAGAAAGAATACTCCGTAACAAGATTCATTAAGCAACAAGTAGTTAACCATGATTCCACCGTTTCCATGTATCCCTAATCAACAAGTTCCTCAACGTCTTTTACTAAACTCCACATACGAGGTCGGCGAGTCAAGCACTCAACCCGCCACGGCTTCCTTTTCCGGCAGTAACAAGTCTATTCCAAGCACAAATCTTCTACCATTAGGTTTCAATGTTCTTGCTTTAGATAAGACGTCCAAGAGTTTTTACACACATGTTTCGAAGCAGTCTCGACATCATCCCAGGGACGAAGAGGCTGAGAAGAGTACATGTATTGGGCGTGACTTGAAGAGGATTTGTACGACGGATGTACGATATTAATTACGGTCTTGCAGATTATCTAGAAAGATTTTTGATTTTTATATACCCTAATACACCCGATGTAAAGTACACTAAAGATATACTTCACTTATTTGATGATACAAAAAATACCCTTGGATGCGTCTTGCACCCAGGTGTATATTAGAGTTTTTAATTGAATTTGATCGCATGAAGTTAACATTTGTCCTGCGGATTTGGTTAGACATCAATTATTTATAAAGTATTCTTGAGTAAATTAAGTTTCATTTATATGACAATTTTTTATTTATTTTTTGAAAAGAAAATATATGACAATTACATAATTATCCTACATACATATGCAGTACATAACTAGCTATTTAATTCCCTTAAAAAAAAAACAAAAAAACTCATAACTATATTAAGGAAAACTGAAATTCTGCATTATAAAAAGACTAAAACAAGATGGAGCTAGATGAAATATACATGAACAAAAGTAAGATCTCATGCATTATTCTTCGACAAACAAATAAATAATTTAAAATAGAACAAAAAGATAGTAAAGAAGTCAGATTACTTGATACTTAATAGTAGTTCCTAGCATAAAAGTTGTTGCCTATATAGAAGTATTGAAGTAAAGATAAGCTCTCCAAGTCGCAGCTTCAATTTGGTGACGAGATAATGTACCAAAACTCCAATCACTAAGAGCTGCACCATTACATTTAGTAAATAATTCATCCTTATCAAACACATGATTACTGACTAAAACAGCCAAATCAATCAGTTTATAAGTCCCTAAAATGTTAGACTGTGTAAAAGTTGTTGCTGCAAAGTTGCGCAGATCAACCGCATATCTACACTTAATCCCCCAACTCGTGCCTAATGCCTCGAGGCAGTGCTTGATCCTGACACCCACGAATGTTAACTCTTGGAGTTGAAGGAATTTGGAGACCGAACAGAATTCGAGTGCGGTCAAGTGATACAGCTGAATGATCAGGCAAAAGTCCCCGCAACAGAACATCAATGCAGATACGTATTCTTTTGAGGGTCTTAGGTTGTTAGGAATATTCTGGTAGCGTTTCTCTATATCCAGCCCTATTGTAAGGTTTACACCGTCTTTTCGGGCAGTTGCTAACAAATCTCTTAAGCCTTGATCTAGCTCGACTATGTTGGACTTGTTGATTACTTTGGTGGTGATATCTAATCCTCCTATTTGAAAGTGGTCTAAATTTGACATGGTTATAGGTGTTTGCCACGACTCTTTAAAGAGTGATAAGGCAATTTTGGTGAGACGAGGGAATTTGTATATCATAATCTTCGTGAAAAGTTTTGATGATAAGGAAAATGTCATAGGATGGTTATCTATATATGATAAGAAGTGACAATAATTTTGGAATGAAAACTGTCAATTAGGTGATTCTTGGAAATTCTTAGGAGGTAACTCAACAGGTTTATTTTTTACAATAAAAATCAATCCATAAATCTGTGAAGTCGTGCGAGAAATCAAATGCACAAGTCCAATACTTTAAAATAGAGGTGGGCAGCGTGTCATGCCTGGTGGTGACTCGTGTAGTGTCGTGCTGTGCCTGAGCCTTGGCGGGCCATGCCGTGCCATGCCTGAATCTTAATGGGCAGTGCCAGGCCGGACCATCATTTGACACCACCCAGCCCACGGCCAACACGACCCACATGCCTTGCGTGCCGGGCACCTGGCCGCCCATGCTTTTTTTTTTTTATAAAAAAAATATCGATATATTTTTTTTGAACAACTTTTAAAATGAATTTACTATTTAAATAATTTTATTAATTTATGTTTATGTTTGTTATTATTATATTATTATTGTTCTTTTTATTTTTATTATTATAGTTCTTTATTATTATTTATGTTATTTTTATTATTATATATTATTTATGTTGGAAAGAGCCGTTTGAAGCACGAATATAGCCGTTTTGCACGGGTCATGCCGTGTCTGACGTGCCAGTGCCATGCCCGGCTGAAATTACCGTGTCGTGCTGGCGGGCCGTCCTGCGGGCCAAATTACCATGCTCGTGCCGCTGGATTTTCAAAATTGTGTTCACGGCACGGCCCACAACCCACTCTTCGGTCACCGTGTTGTGCCGCTGACGGGCTCGTGCCATGCTGTGGCACTCTTGTGTTGGGCCCGTGTCGCCCACGAACCGGCACGGCCCATGCCCAGCTCTACTTTAAAACTTAACAGTTGCTAGGATTTATGGCACAATAAACCATTGATTTCCAAGCCTCTTCAGTTCTCCTAGTAGCAGTATATAATATCACAAATTCAACCATTTCTTGTGCACACTTTTTCTAAACTTAAGCCTAAACTCTTCTAATAAACACGTCTTCTTCACTAGAAATCAACGTAGGGAAGGTAAAGGTTAACACCAACATAATTAAAACTGCTGATGAGCTTGAGAAAAGCTTAAGAGACTTGCTATTAATCAGTCGACGTCCTGTTGTAATGAGTATTGTAGGACTTGATATCGAAAAACAACATATATTTTTCTTCTGTTCCTCAATTTATGTCCCCTTATAAACCACAAGTCATCATTGACAAGGTTACAACACTAATGTTATGTTGTGGAAATGTGTGCCTTATCATTAGGCTATCCCAAATGTTTGCGCATAGTAGTGTCTCAAAATTCCTCCATTGTAGGAATTAGGATGAAGTATTGTCTCGAGGCATTGGAGAAAGATTATGAAGTATTGTCTGGGTTCATTTGAGGGTTATGCTTTGGTGGATTTCACTTATGGAACTGGACTAGTTCATTTTTTCGAGTCGAAAGAGAAGGCTAAAGAATTTTGCTATGCTGATGCTCTTAGTGATTGGAGTGCTGCTGCATTATCGCGACAGCAGATTGAAGCTGCAACGGGGCGTGCTTACCTCTGCTTCTATGCGGGAAACTACTTTTGTGGTGGGCACGTTACTAGACTTTCATTTTGTAATTAATGATCACCTCAATGAGTTCGATCTCTCAATCAACGGTGGAACTAACAACGGTTATGAATTAAGCGTATTATTGTTATTATTATTTTTGTAAGGGAAACTTATGTTCATTACCTTAGTAGTTAAACTTTTCCTCCAAAAAATATGTGCTTTTTTCATATTTTTAGATTACCATTAATACATAATGTGCTAATGGATGTAAATTGGAAATGAAATGTTGTGAAGAAAATTTAATATGGATGTTTGAAGATGATGCCTAGGAAATATATGCTACAAATAATTGTTCTCTTATAAATTAATGTAGAACACACATATATCTAGGTACAATATTATACATTTATACTACTTTATACGAAGAATAAATCACAAGCGGTATCTATACTAATCCTTTTTTTTTAAGCTAAAAAAATCATAGGCAGCCCTCCTCATCACGAGACGTATTCCTAGTGTATCAGTCAAAATAATACGGAGTAGAAAACAAACTAAAATTATTACAAACACCAATATCCATATTAATCCTATTTGGTATGCAATTGTTATCCATCATAAACATGTACAGCTGGATTAATTATGTAATTTAAATTAATTAATTAGGTAATTTAAATTAATTAGTTAGGTAAGTATTTAAATTTAATACCGGAGTATCCTTTAGCATAATATCCTAAGATCTTACAACGATTTGTATAATCTTTCTAGGAATGTTAAATATCAAAATTAATTAATCCCCAAGTAATTTCACACCGCATGCTTTTATCTATCTGTTATTTGTTGATATTTTACATTGTTTCCTTTTTTAATTCCCTTCAAAATCTACTTGTTTCCTAATGTTAATAATTTACTTTTGTACCAAGTAATGAAGTAATAAAATATGTTAATAATTTACACATTGTTTTCTAATTTAACCAACCGTGTTAGAAGATAAATTAATAAAAGTTCCTTGTTCATCAAGCACTTCTCATACCCCTTTCGTAATAAATACATGTACGTACATCTCCTTCACCGTTTTAATTGTAATCTCAAATAAACCTTAAACCTCAGATCTTCAACCTCAACCTCAACCTCGTCGAATTCATTTCTACAAAATGATCCCGTGTATGGAATTCAGTCTAGGAAGCCATAACCTAATCAAAAACAATGATCCATACGCCGAAGAAACCATAACCATGATCATCCACATCAAAGACAAACGAGCAGGAATACCCCCGTGCGAAATCAACACGGTGCAAACGTTCAAGACAAATGCTCACGAATTCAACACTAATGAAAATCCCCAAGATATCATAGAAGGATGGCTAAAGCAAATGGAACTTCTTCCTCAATTTTATCCTAATGCCGTCGATTACATCCTTAGATGTTCATCTTATCAAGTACCTATGGGGTGGTCACTCAATTTGTCTGTCTTTCTAGAATATTCCGATTTTTCGGGGCCTTACGACGAATGCCATAGGAATGAGCAACCGGTACTAATGAAGTGTCCAATAAGAGTTTCATACTCGGACAATATTCAAGAATGTCAAAAAATTGTTGTGAATATATATTGTCAAGATAGTAGAGAAGGTGTTAAGTCGGAGATGTTTTCGGTTTTCGAGGAAGATTGTTATGTTATGTTTCCGGTGTATGGAGGGAAGAAACCGTTGGAGAAGATACACGAGTGGTTGGAGTTGATGGGTGTTGATCCTTATTGTTATTGGTATGCTATTGATAATATTCTCAAGTTTGCTCGAACTTCGTACAAAGTTTCTTGTGGTAGGTCTCTTGAGTTGGATGTTAATCTTAGAATCTCCGATGCAAAGGGAGGTTGTTTGGTGGATGAGGACAACGAGGCCGAGGCCGAAGCCGAGGAGGAGTTTGATCGTGTATGGGAGCTCATGTCTACTCTCAAGAAGTTTCATCGTGGTGTTTAGTAGGGAGGTGTTAGGGAACATGATTGTTTGTTTTGTTTTACAAAATTCAAGTACTATGTTGTGATTGATGAATATTTGCCAAGAAATACAAGTTTGTTTGTTTGTAAGGTTTTTTTTTAAACCGATTAAATTGAGGTGCTTACTTTTAGCAAGAACAATGTATTAGGGAGTATCTTACCATTGCAATACAATCTTTTTCAATTTGCAATATCTTATTCTGCTAATTATTGTTAATTATGATTTCAGTTTGTACTGTATTATTTTGCTTATTATTTCGAAATCGAAAACAGAAAATATAATTTAAATTTTAGATAAGCTATGGTTTAGAATTTAGATGGTAGTGAACCAAAAAGTTTCATTCTTACAAAATCTCTAAGAATAATTTGGAAAGATATTGAATCCCTATATGCACGGAACAAAATTTACTTGTAAATTTATGGGAAATTTTGAATCTTAATCCCCAAGGCAGTACAGTATTTATCTAGGATTTTTTACATCATGTTAACTACTTGTAATGTATTAAACTCATCCAATGGATAATTATCTAAATCAATTTTATTTTTTTTTAACACATCCACTAGTGTGTGCATCTCATTAGGGCCTGCGCAGCATATGTAGTGTTTACGTTGTACCTCAAGCGTCAACACTTGCAAAGACCTCACTTGCGGGAGCATCATGGCACAAACACTCATATGCAATCATGAAGTCCCTGCACGTTGGGGTTTTACGCATCGGTATAATAATCTAAAAAGTTAAAACGTCGGTTAGAAGGAATACAAAGATGTAGTACAACCAAATAAAACAAGAGCCACAGTTTGTTGGAGATTTGACAAGCTAATTTTTCATTCAAAGCCAAAGCCATAGTATATTCAAGAAGCAGTCACTAACAATGAACTGACAAAAAGGAAAAAGAAATAAACAAAAAAGAGCAAGAAACATTGAGCTTCAGCGGAGAGTTTCTGATTTTTCTAAGATACCTACACAGCAAAATCCTACTGCTACTATAATCTCTCTGCTAATCCGAATAAGAAAAAAAAAAAAAAAATTCTCGTACTATATCATCATATATATCATCCCTTCTGTTCAACTTTTTTTTTCAGCAGAGTTGGAAAGGAACAACATACAACAGGCTAGATTTCTTCTAAGTCCCCCAACACAACCAAACAGCGATAAAGTTTGAGAAGTTCACAAGTATTTGCATCTGTAGACTCTGCTAAGGAAACCCCGGAGAAGGAATTTCTGCAATGAAGAGCACAGCTGTTGAGCTCGAAACAGGAAGAAAAAAAAAATTTGTTTATAACTTCTGTTCAAGGGTCACATCCATAATGCCAATGGCAGATTTAGGTACGTAGTGCTCATCTGTGTCCACCTCCTCAATTTCCTGAACATAGTCGAAAGTCATTACCGATAACTATTAGCAACAACATTGACCAAAAGAGGAGGAAGAAAAATTGTGTTTCCTTATAAGTAGATAAACACATCAGTTGGAAGAGAATGTTTACCTGGACAACCTCCTCTCCCTTAGTAACTCGTCCAAAAACAGTAATTTTTTCATTTAGATCGGGAATAGGTGCTGTTGTTATATAGAGCTCAAATCCTTTGCTATCGTGCTTTGACTTGGAGGTTCCAAGCATAAAAGCCTCGTGCTTAACACTGCAAAGAAATGACATTTTGTGTATAACTATGCAAGAACAACAATAACGAAAAAACCTCAAACACGCATAACACATTGATGGATTTAAAGCGAGTATACCTTCTATCAAGCTGGCTGTAGTGCTTCCCCTTGAGGGTCCATTGTTCAGCAGGTCCAATACTGTGGATATCCCCTGCCTGTATCACATAATGCTTTATCACACGGTGAAATTGCATCCCTTTGAAATTTCCTTTCTGACTGCAAAATTAGATTCATCAGAGATGACCGAAATCAACACAAATCACACCTAGTAAAAAAAATTCCTACTCACCACCACTTCCCCCAAACAGGAAAAAGGAAAGATAAGAAAGTGTGTGTCTGTGGCGAGAGAGAGAATGGTTGTAAGGCCACAGTCCCATTACTCACAAAAAGCATCAGAACAAAAATTTAGGTCAGTGGTCTAGGCATCATAGGGGCAGACTTTGAGATCAACTTCTTGATATTGCAGATTATAACTTCTTGAGACCAACTGAGGATACTACAAGGATATCAATCTTCTTCTTCTTCTTGAACGACTTAATCCCATAAGTGGGGTCGGCTACATGAACCAACATGAGGACTTCCAAGAGGTCACCCATCCTAGTACTAATCTCAATCATTGTGGCTCATGTCAAGCGATGTGACAAAGTTTTACACTGGCTGGCATTGGCCTACCGTAACCCTCCTCCTTTATCCAGGCTTGGGACTGGCAGCGGAAAACCCACTTGCGGAGTTTACAAGGATATCAATATAACTGAATATAAGGGTATACAAAAGCTATTACAAATACTTATAAACCTCTCTTTATATCTCTAAATGAGGCCTATTTCTCCCTCTTTTAGGCATAACCAAGCCGTTAAAGATACCACAAAAATGGATTAGTTCCACAAGTGAATACTACTAAATTATATCATGCCTTCTCATGTATTTGACATTTTGACCTTTACAGAAGTGAGGCATCAAAGCAGTCAAACAAACAGAGAAGGCCAACAAGGCAAATTACTGAATTTTACTCCAGACTCTAGCGTAATTACTAATCAACTGAAAGTTCTGATCTTGTACTCACCATAACTGGATAAACTCATCAACAATTTCAGGAGATCCATCCTTAAACAGTTCCACAGCGATGGCGCCTTTTGAAGTTTGAATAATCTAGCATAAGACAAAGATAAATAGCTCAGGAAAAAGAAACCAAGGTTGCAAACAACCATAAGATTCTCCCTATATCCAGCGACAATAGTCACGTATTCCAAATCAGGTTGCCCTGAAACTCTTGTCAAATTTCCCAAGATAGAAGTAGATGATATTAAGAGTTCTCTAACATAGGCCCAAAATCATCAATTTTAAAGTGGTGGAGGAGAAAGGATGAGAAGAAGACAACTAATGCATTGGGAGTTTTAATAATTCATGGTCAACACTTAGTTACGAGGGGTCGGAATAATATGACTAATGATACTGGACAAGGGGAAGAATATAATAACGGAGTGTCATAACCAAAATATTTTGAGACAAGTAAAAAGAGAAATAAAAGCAACACATACCGCATATTTCGGAACACCAATATTCTTCAATTCACCAACCTATTACATAAGGGAATAAAAATAGGTTATAAGAAATGAGGCATAATTGCATAATTGAGCTGATGGCTTGCTTAGTCTGCAAGAGCTGGCAACTAGTTATCAATTGAACAAAAAATTAATCATTGATCAATACTAGTGGTGTAAATAGCATAAATATACTGAATTAATACTAACATTGTTACCTTACGACTTGTATAACGTACCAGTTCATCTGGGTTCACTGACCTAGCAGAGATTATCAACAAAAGAAAAGAAAAGAAATGCTGTCAATTACCTAATATAGCAAGAAACATCTCTTAAAATATGACTATCCCCAAAATTATCATGAATTCTGTAAATTTCAGCACATTGACGCAGTAAATTACAAGAAAGATCTCTTGAAATTAATCAGTTTACAAAGAAAAATGCACCAATATAAACACACTTGCACCCTCCCAAGTTGGTCAGTTCTAGATTGAAATTAATCAAACTCAAACCCATAAAACAGAAGCAAACTTTTTGTGAAGCTTCCCAATCTTAAACTCCAAATCAAAAACTAATTTTGGAGATTGCATATTCAAGCTGAAGTTTTCCAAAATTGAGCCAAAATCGGAGTGAAAACTGCCCCAACAACAAACACAATTGCTCTCCCAATCAAAGCAACACTAAATTGAGATTTTCAACTAAAGCCACATGAAAAGTACAATTGAGCTCAAATTTTCAAATTCGAATCTACTTTTCTACCTTTGCAAACCCAAATCATCATTCTCATTATAAAGCATACATTTTTATTGAGCCAAAAAAAAAAAAAAAAATTGCTCTAAATTTCAACCAATGATCTAAATTATACAACCCAAATCAAGTTTCTTACTATTCTCCCCCAAAATCCCAGAACCTAAAATTAAAAACAAAAAGGGTATAAATTCTCCAAATTACAAAACAAATAAAGATATAGAAAAACATAAAAATTGAAAGATACCTGTGAGAAAAATGCCTATACGCAGAGAAGATGAAGAAGACAACCATGAAAACAATCAAGCTGAACAGAATTATAGTGGTGAGACTGATCCTACTTGGCGCCTTCTTCTTCTTGCTTTGCTGTAACAAAGCTTGTGGCTTTATTCTTGCCATATTTATCTAGCTTAAAAATTCTTCAAACCCAGGAAAAAAAAAGATCAAATTAGTCAATAAATCACCAAAATTAGATAAATTACCATAATTAGGGAAGAAATCAGAGATTTGAAGACATACCCAAATCGAAAATCAGAGGAATTTTTGTGGGGTATTGGAATCTGAATAACAGATGTGATGAATCTGCCAAGAAGTTTGATGATTATTTCTCTCTCCAAAAAAGAGAAGAAGAAGAATAGTTGTGTTGAGAAGTTTCTCTCTCTACAGAAGATATTAGTTGGCGTATGAATATAAATTGATTTTGGATGTATTTGTTTGTTCTGAGATCGGAAAACTTTGGAGGGTTTGGTTGGTTTGGGCGTTTTTTTTCAATATTCGAAATTTCAAAAGTTAAAAGAGTATGATGAGTTTGATTATACATTTATTCAAAGAAAAGTTTCATTTTACATTAATGACTAATTGAAATTTCAAAGGTCCTTAGGAATTTGATTGGGGCTACAAAAAGAGTTTGACCTTGTACAAGTACATTAGATGTTGGGGTTATGGGTTTGTTTTCTTCACCTTTCAATAAAGCTTTTTAACTTTAATAATCTTATATTTCTTCACCTTTCATAAGTACATTAGACGTTGGAGTACATTTCTTCTAATTAATCTAACAAGTTAATACTTAATAACCACTTAGGTGAAAGAATAAAGAGAACACGCAGTTGATTAATAACCACTTAGGTGAAAATGCTCATATTGGTAAAGATTGCTCATTGAAGTTCCCAATTGAAGTGTCTTTAACTATATCTTGTATGTTGATAACTAGTAATTTGTCCCTTTTTATGTTTCAAAATATTAAACACCGTATTATTAAAAAAAAATTGAAGACTTTAAATAAATGATTGCAACATCATTTGCTTGATTACATTACATTGCTTTCAAAAAATATGTTACATTGCCTTTGTTCCAAAAAATTGAAGACTTTCTAATTGAGTGATTGGTTCGATCTCACTTCCCTCTAGTCTGTGTATATCTCGATCATCTCACTTGAAAGAAATTTGTGAAAATGAGAAGAAAAAATATTTTCATTCACAATTGAAATCCAGTAGCACAACTTAAATTCCAAAGCTGAGAGCCTGGAACTCGTTGCACAGTTGAAAGTTGCACCAGAATTAAAGCATGAAGGCAAAAATCATAGGGATTCCACGTCTTCTTCTTGTCTTTCCAATACAATGGTAGCAAGAGCAAGCCTATATGCTGTAGATCTCAAATTTCTGACCAAGACAAATACCTCCTTCCTCCTCTTTTTTGAAGGCATCCAACTCCACTGTTCAAATCTAAGATGAGCAAGTAGCACAGCTTCACAAAAAGCCACAGCTCCTGGTTTCTTGCTGCATGTTCATATATGTAAGAACATTGTAGATATCATCAAGCAAAGTCATCTAATCAACAATCTTTCCACAAAAAACATAGAATTAAGTTTCATATATGGAGTAGGGTGAATTAGACAGCTCCTACTCAGCTTACTCTAGAGACTAAGGTTTAAACTAATTCAATTTCCAAAAAAATACAGCACACAAATCTGTGATTGCTAAACAAGAAAAACTAAGTCGCAATATTAAGTAGCAAAGAGAAGTGTGTACCTTCCTCGAACAAATCCGGAGGTAACAAAGCCTACTGGTGGCCTATAAGCTTCCCTAGCAGCAGGGTCCATGGGCATATGGAAATCCCACTTGCCGGAAGGTAATTTTTTGACGTATGAGCCAACAAAAGCATGAGGCACTTGGAGGCCCTCGTTATCTTCTGGCCTGTAAATTCATCATTCACACCATTAATAACAAAGACCACAAAACTAAAAGAAGAGCCAATCTATCTTGACCAATCGACCATCCACTATATATCACAAGCATGATTTAAGCATGAATTTGTTGCAAGAAACATGTTGGATTACTCAAGCATATTTTCAAACAATAAACAGAAGCCATGGAAACTATAAGCAATATTTAAGGCCTAGAACAATGAGTAAGTACCTGGACTTCAATAATGTTATATCTGATAAACAAGGAGCACAAACAACTGCTCCCTCGTCAAAAACGCCTTCCTTGAAAGCATGTAAGACAACTCGGACATAACACAATCTTCTGTCACACGTCAAGGTGGCCAGGTTTGAGGCACTGATCTTGGCTTCTTTCATCATTAAATGTGATAAAGTCGGTCTATCTAGCCCCTTAGGGAACAACAGCAAATTATCACTAGATATTTCTTTCAAGAAAGAAGTCAGCATTCTGGAAGTCCTAGCTACTAATACTTCAGAATAAACACTGTTACTGACAAGCAAAGTATCACTAAGCTTGCCTACTAGATCTGCTGAACATGTTAAATTGCTAGAAAAATCCATTTCGTTACCCTCTCCAGCTCCTCTGCTGAAAGAAAACCATTTGCTGTTCCAAGGAAGTTGTATAGGAATTTCAAAAGGTCTTGTAGCAGATGGACAATTTTCCAAAGTTTTGTCAACTGCTGAGGCCTTTATTTCCATTGAACGAGAATATGCATTGCAATCAGGAAAATCTGACGGAAAATAAGGCAAGCCAACCTGCAAGGTAGAAGGCTAAAGTTTTAAAACAAGACAATGGAACTTCTCATCAAGAGGTAAAGTGGGTAGAGATGCACATACATCACAAGCAATCCAATGCTTCTCTCTCAAGCCAATGGCATGAGCTCCACCAGAAATCAGAGGAATCCAGAAAGCCTTAACCCAACTAATAGGGAGTATAATAGACCATCTGAAAGAAGAGTGAAAGTGGGACATTGTTAGGCATACCATCAAAGGCAGAATAATTTTTCAAGCCTAAGAAAATCTATCAGCTATAGAGGTGAAAGTGGAAAGGCAATATGTTACTAGAAGTGGTAACTATATAAGTGATCAGATATCAAGCAGAATTACCTGTTGTGAGTCAAAGTAACAAAGACCGCATTTAAAACAGAACATTATACTCTAGATTTCTAGAACACTAACCTAGACTAGGTTGTTAGATGAGGTTCATGACAAGCCCATTGAGGTAATAACAGCATTCCTGGGCATATTATGCAGTACAATCTGCAATGCCCTCCACTGAAATAGACTTATTAAACCCTAACCATCAGATCTTCCCCTCTCTCTCACCCCACCTTCTGCACTCCAACAAATGTCCTCCACTGTAGTAGACTGATCTCCCCTTCTCTTCACCACCCCCCCCCCCACCCACCTACAAGTCTGTGAGGATAGGATAAACTCAAGTAAGGAGATTGTACACTGTTAAGTACTATCAAAACATTGGTTACATAAACAAGCATCAAGGCAAGAGGAGATACCCAGTAAGGCGGTCTGCCTCGTCAGCATTTCTCAGTAACAGAATTGGACAGAATCTTGAGAAGTGACCGTCAACAGAAGCAAATTTTGTTGAAGATGTATCCTTCAGGCGAAAGAAATCCAAAGACTTTTGATGCTTCTCCAAACAGAGTTTATGCTCTTCCACAGGTGGATGAATCCCATTGCTGGCATCCCACAAGTCCTTGCAGTTAGATAAAGAGGCATTGCTGTCATATTTTGACTGCAGGGTAGAAAGTACCTCTTCCTTCGTTAGCAAGTTTCCTGCATAGTTTTCTTCACTTTTATCTTCCATTGAGCCACATTGATCATTGGCTAAATTTGCAGCTGGAGCGGCCAAAGACTTTTTGTGACATGAGGAACGTGGATCAACAACAGTAAGTAACACTGCTGCACCAGAAGAAAAGCAATCTTCATTTTCAAGGTTGTTCTTAGGCTTAATTTCACATCCATTTGTATAAGCTGTTGCTGAACCAGTGTTTAACTCAACAGAATCTTCCACCGAACTGCCAGTAACAAGGAACATATATATTCATCAGTACTTGCAGCATCAGATCAAAACTGAAACACCAACAGCAGAAGACTTACAGAGCAATAGGATGCAATATTTTTTGAAGAAGTTGGAATGCTCGAGATCCCATGACTTCTAAATTTGCAAGTTGCCCATCAAGGGACACACAACCAATCATAATGCCTGTTTCATTTGTCTATAAACAGCATAAGATGAATAACAAGTCTGAGTAAAGTAAGCAATTTATATCAGAAAAGCACATGAATGGAAACTTGAGAAAAATTCCCAAGTCGTTAAATCTGATACTTTGACGTCTAAATGTCTAATCATTCATCTTCTGGGAGGAAAATAAGACATAACTTCACATAATCACACATCAGGATCTTTTAAAAGTAACAGAATTATTTTTCCAAAAAAAAAAAAAAAAGGTATCAGAATTATTTAATGAAGGATGAGAAAAATCAAGATTAACCAGAAAGGATATTTATATGACTGAAATTAAAAAGTGTCACCAGGGAGTTACCATATTTTGACAAGCAAGTTTTAGACAATCAAGTCCTTCACGAAAAGCTGAGGGATGCATCCATATCCAAAGCTGAGGTAATTGAGAGCTTGATTCAGTTTCCATATTCTCATCAGCTCCCTTATCCTTTGTGCCAACATTGTTATGCTGATGCAATGGCCGCCACATATAAGTCACAGGGCAAATGGCATCAAAACCATCCTGCCTGGCATGGTGAAGCTGCAGAGGAGACAGGCCAAATCAAAATAAAAAATAACAATATTCTATGCTAACATTAAGTAATTAAAGTTTACCAACCATCGCACGTCCATATATTTTCCCAGAAAGTAAGCGTTGGCAAATGTCTTCAGGATGATCAATCATGGAGGGAACCAATAACATGCTTAGAATCGATGACAATGCTTCCTGGAAAATTATTGAGCTGTTATTAGGTAGATTTGTGAATATAAAGCCTAAGCTGAAAAGGTTGGCTGTTGTATCACTCAGCAGGCAATGATACACTTAAGATTTAGTTCATACAGAACTATGTGGTTCAAAAAGATGTAATAGATATGAGTACTATTCTGTTACTACTACAAAGAGCACTAGCTACCGATGAGGCCTTGGCCTAGTGGCAAAGACTGAGGGCTTAGGTACGATAAGTCAGAAGTACAAAAACCCCTAACTCCATGTGTAATTTGTAATGCATAGCAACTCATTTGGACCCCCAAAAAAACAAAGAGCACTATCTAAGAGTAAGTGATATTCATCTCTACTTCGCTATTCCTCTCAAATTCCCATTAGAAATCACAGCCAATAGCTGAACACTGTACTAAGAACTTCATATTGTTCATTACTCATTTTGATGACATAAATACATAGATGTTAATTATTTCAGGTGAAAAGGAAATGAGAAATGCCTGCCTCTGAACCCTCCAACTGAACAGCACTGTAGTAGCTTGCATCATGCACAACAGACCCTTGTTTGTACCACTTTAAAAGAGCTCTCGATCCCTTTCCACTGCATCACATAAAAATCAATTTAGAACTCCAAGATACTTACACAATTTCTCAAATAAATTTCACATTAGCACAAACTTCTACGAAGTACTTCTATACAGCAAATCCATGGTATTTTTTATTACTTATGATAAATGTGCATAAAGTAAACCCAGCAAAGCATGCCACCAAATATCCTAGCTAATATAAACCAAAGCAAGCAAATTTTGACATGATTCCAATTTGAAGCTTTAACTAATAAACTTGACAATATCATACAGAGTAACTCATATTTCTGATCCCATTAAATTACAAAAATCCCTCCACTTCTTCCATTAAGTTACTTTAAAAACAAAAGACAGACACAAGTTGGTTACTTTACATGCAGCAAGAACTTAACTCCCCACCTCACAAACACACTAAGATCCATTTTCAAACTATGAAGTATTAGATACAAATAAAATGCACAACCACTATCAAGATCTACCCTTTTGATGCAATTGGATTAACATGAACTAATTCATTTCTAACCCACTTAGAGGTCAATTAAGTTCTAAACCACCAATCCCATTACAAATTCATAAATCAGGCAATGCAGTCTAGCTGACTACTACCAAATGTATTCTTCAAGCTGACTTTGCTATCAAACCACAACCAAAACCTTTGCAACTAATAGAAACAGAACAAAACCCACACTACATGCCCGTGCATACGCACACACTCAAAAGAACTAAGTAATGCTGAAAACCCTTTAGCAGCAATTTAATTCAAGATAAAGTTCGTTAACACAGAGTCACAGAGCAAGTAAGTTCTAAAAAAAATCAGCTTTTTTTTTTTTGGTTTGACCTGATTTTTCCTTCAACAAACCTGTATTTCATTAGTTCACCATAATTCAAACAAAATCAACAACAATTAACAAAATCAAAAGGAGAAAAACAGAGGGAATTTCGTCGAACACCTTCCATGCAATCCGACGGGAAGATAAAATCCCCAAAACTTGTCCATCGTAAACCGCTTAGCATGCCAAACATGAGTTCTCAACCTCTTAGTCCCATCTCCTGATGCACTAAACCCTACTTCTAGATTCTTCTTCGTCAACTCAATCCTCCTACGAACTCTTCGCGGCAACTTCTTCCCCTTCTCCTTTTCATTCTCCTCCTTTTCAAAATCTTTGACCGCATTGCCGGAATTACGGGGTCTTCGGCGGCGCTTGGAGTCGAATCCGGTGGTACGGCGGCGCTTGTTACGCTGAGAACGGAAGTCGTTGTTGAGGCGATTGGAGACGATTGAGTGGAGGGATTCTAATTCAGTGGCGCGTGAATCGGCGTACTTGCGGACGTCTAGGGTTCGCGGTGGCGCCGCCGATGGTGGTGGTCGGCATTGTTTGGCGGCGTCGGAAGCCATTGAGAGAGGAAGGGAGAGTGTAGTTGAATTGTTACTGCAATGGGCAATGGAGAGTGGAAGGAAGAAGAGTCAGGAATGTAAGTATGCAGGGTAAGGTTTTTTTTTTTGTTTTTGTTTTTTATTGGTAAAATCGTTAATAAATCAACAAAAAAGTAAGGTTAACATAATAAATTTCCACTCCGTACTCGATAATTACATCAAATGTGGAACTTCTTTAATAAAAATTGATGATTTATTTGTACTTAACCCCAATGCATGAAGTTAAATCTCTATAATCGATTGTTTCATGTGCATTTTCTAAATGTTGATGAGTCTTCTCGCATATTGCAGATATATTGTTCTGGTTCAACTATATACAAGAATCCAGCCTACCAAGCCAGATGGATAACCCCTTAGGTGCTTGTAGAACTAGAGATTATTGGGTTTGTGGGGAGAAGAACAAAACTCGATATCACCATGTATGTATTCAAGAAAGCCCTTGTTTTGAAGGAGGTTATTGTCGAAAGCATGCCAACATACAACAGTAAATTCGTGCTATGGCATATTAATAAATTCAAACACAATATGCCACCAGGGGTAGAGTTCATCTTCAAGTTAATAAAACCAGCACGCAATTAGTGTATTATTTGTCATTATAATTGTTGTTTTCTCATTCTCATATCATTATTCTTTGTTGCTAACTTTCAATTGCTATATTATTATTCTCATATCGGAGCACTTTGTATATATCAAATTGTGATGACAATAGCTTCGTGCTGATTAGAAAATGGAGAATATTTTAAATTCTTAAGGACTTAAATTGTTTATCATGTACTCCCTTCGTATCTATTTCTTTGTCATTTTATTTTTCACGGTCTCTAAGATGGAGTATATCTCCATTTCTATACGCGTAAACATCACAATTTTAAACTTGATATTAATATTTACGGAGTAATGTATACATGTACAATGAGACAAATCCAACAAGATCACACATGATGTTGAACAACATGCGGCGTGATTTTTTTTTTTAAAAAAAAGCCTTTTTGATACTTTCTCAATCTGCGAGCAAAAAATTTGTTCTATTAAAGTGTTAGGGTCATTTAAGCCCTAGAATATTAATTTTAGGTCAAAATTAGCACAAACAAATCTAGAAAATGTCTTGTTTTGTATGCTTAAAAAAAGTATAGATTTTCGTGTTTGTTATTTTCAAGCAAAAAAATTTGTTCATTTAAAGTTTTGGAGGTCATTTTGACTCTAACTGACCCAATTTAAGGTCAAATTTGCAAAAAAAAAAAGCACTTCGTACAAAAAAGTCTCATTTTGCGTGCAAAAAAGTCTCGGTATGTGTGTTTTTACTATATTTACATGATGAAAAATACTAGTTAAGAATTTTGGGATCATTTTGATCCTTAAAACACTAAATAAATTACTAGAAATGCCTCGAATTAATATTTATCTAACAACAAATTTTTATATACGAATAAGTGAAAAAAAAAAAAAAAAAGTCAAATGTGTCCATTCTTTTGAAGTAGAAGACACCTAATGACCTAAATGAAGTGTTTATATACACCAAATTAAATTTTTAACCTGTTAAAAAAAAAAAAAGGCAGCAAAATGGCAAATGCAATACTTCCACTCAAATACACAAAAAATTAAAATAAAAAAAAACCCTTGGGTTTACTTTCACCATCAATGTCTGAACTAACCTAACAAATCCAAAGGATAGCCGATGAAGTGAGTCTTGAGCTCAACTCAGCGAGTCAGCTTCCTACTCTGTTGACTCTCTTTCTCACCTCACCTCACTTTCTCTCTCCTCTCCATATTCTCGCTCTCTCTCTTTCTGGCTCTTCTTATCTTCTTCTTCTTCTTCTTCAACTTTCTCTCTCCTAAAAATGGCGTCTTCCACACCACCTCATTGCTCCATTACTGCACCTTCAAAACCCCACCAAATTTCAACCAATTCTTCCCACAAAACCCTTCAACATAATCAACAACACCCTCCTCATCTTCCTCGTCGTTTCACTTCCCACAAAGTCTCTGCTTCTCCTCTTCCTTCCAATTCTCTCTCTAAAGCTCCTACCTTTCTCTCTCCTCTTCCCACCCCCAAAAAAACCCACCTTTCCCCTGATTTTTCCGGCAAGAAATCGACCCGTTTTGTGTCCAAGCTCCATTTTAATCGCCAAAGATCGAATCTTTCTACCCGACATTCCCCTGTTGCTGAGGATGTTCTTGCTCAATCAGCCGCCGCCATTGATGAGGTTCAATTTCAGGTTATTTTGATGGGGTTTGAAGGGAGGCTTTCTGGGTCTGAGGATTACTGCTTTCTTCTTCGAGAGCTCGGAAATCGAGGCGAAAGTTCCAAAGCTGTTGCTTGCTATGAATTTGCTGTTCAGAGAGAGAGGAAGGTAAGTGAAAGAGGTAAATTGGCTAGTACTATGATTAGTGTTATGGGTAGATTAGGGAATGTTGATTCAGCTAGGTTTGTGTTTGATAATGCTGTTAATGGGGGTTATGGTAATACTGTTTATACTTATTCAGCTTTAATTAGTGCTTATGGAAGAAGTGGATTGTGTAAAGAGGCAATTGGGGTTTTTGAGATGATGAAAACTCAAGGGTTGAGGCCTAATTTGGTGTCTTATAATGCTGTTATTGACTCTTGTGCGAAAGCCGGGGTTAAATTTGAGGTTGTGAATGATATTTATGATGATATGTTGAGTAATGGGGTTGACCCTGATCGAATTACTTTCAATTCAATGCTTGCTGTTTGCAAAGGGGGTTTGTGGAAAGAGGCTATGAGGTTGGTTAGTGAGATGGGTATTAGGGGGATTGATCAAGATGTGTTTACTTATAATACCTTGTTGGATGTGATTTGTAAGGTAGGGAAGATGGATTTGGCTTTTGATATTATGTCCGAAATGACGGCTAAGAATGTCATGCCTAATGTAGTTACTTATAGTACCGTGATTGATGGGTTTGCTAAAGCCGGTAGGTTAGAGGATGCACTAGGCATGTTCGAGGAGATGAAATGCGCGGGAATCGCTCTTGATAGAGTTTGTTACAATGCCTTGTTGTCTATCTTCTTAAAGCTAGGTAGGTTCAAGGATGCTCTCAATGTTTGCAAGGAGATGGAGAGCTGTGGCATTAGAAAGGATGTGGTAACTTATAATGCATTGTTGGGTGGATTTGGTAAACAAGGCAAGTATGATGAAGTTAGACAAGTGTTTGACCAGATGAGAAGAGTACGTGTTTTACCCAATGTTCTGACGTACTCTACTCTGATTGATGTATATTCTAAAGGGGGTTTATATAGGGAGGCATTGGAGGTTTTTAAAGAGTTTAAACAAGCCGGTTTGAAGGCTGATGTTGTTCTTTACAGTGGCCTCATTGATACTTTGTGCAAAAATGGGTTTGTGAAATCAGCTGTGCTTTTGCTCGATGAGATGACAAAGGAAGGAATCCGACCAAATGTAGTCACATACAACACTATAATTGATGCCTTTGGTCGATCTGCCGGAGTGGATTACTTGGTTGATGCTATTGTTCCAGTGGATGAGAAGTCAGGGGGTAAAACATCAATGATATTGACATGTGATTCTGCTGCACGCAATCTTGAAGGCAGCGAGCATAATAGAGTCATGAAGATCTTTGGGCAGCTAGCAGTTGATAAGTCTCGTAATTCCAAAGAATTTAATGAGAGCAGCCAAGAGCTCCTGTGCATCTTAGGACTCTTCCAGAAGATGCATGAGCTTGAGATAAAGCCGAATGTGGTGACCTTTTCGGCTATTTTAAATGCTTGCAGGTACATCCTCTATTTCACTGAAAATTTTCTATTATTTTAGTACATGAATGAAACTTTGAGGTGAATATTACTAAAGGGTAAGTTGCATTTTAAAAGTTGAGCTGACAAGGTAACATTTTGTTATATCTCTACATTGCTTGGGATTTGGGAAGGGGGTCAGGTTATTTATTGCACCACTTCTTGAAAAGAGCTTTTAATTCTCTTCTGATATTTTGTTGCTCGATTTGTTATCGTATTGGTCTATTCCTCACAAACCCTCTGAACGAATTGTATACTTTCAACTTCATGTTCACTTAAAAGGTGACCATGATACATTGAAACTAATGTTTTTATAGAGGTTTAGATACCAGATAGTAGTTATATTCTCCTCTAAAGGCTGTCAGCTAGTATCATTTTTGTCTTGATTCCTGCTGTATAAACTTCTTTGTCTAAAGAGTTTCCTTTGACATCCTCAATAAAAATAATACTTGTAGAATGATGATTTATATCTCTGATGAAGAGAGTTTTGTGGTTTTGGTCTAGATGAAGCTGTTTCCTATACACAGTGAAGGATACTCTTGGCATTTGTAGCTTGGTTTTTATATAAATTTGTGCTACATCTTGCCTTACTGGTCATAGCCCTTTAATTTATGGTCATAAGGCTAACTAAGTTGATGAATGGAACCTGCAGCCGCTGTAACTCACTGGAAGATGCCTCTATGTTACTGGAAGAACTCCGCCTGTTTGATGATCGAGTCTATGGTGTTGCACATGGACTACTGACAGGTTCCAGGGATACAATCTGGATTCAAGCACTCTCCTTGTTTGATGAAGTTAAGCAGTTGGATATTTCAACTGCATCTGCCTTCTATAATGCTCTAACTGATGTGTTATGGCACTTTGGTCAAGTAAGTTCAACTCAACTCCCTATGCATGTTCTTAAGTTCATTTGAATTGCTAGGAAAGAGGGAGGATTACATTTGTTTGTGCAAAACTGCAAACAAATTACTTATGGGATAAAGAACAACGATCTTGTTTGCCTTTGTAGTTTTCATGGTAGCAACTTCTTTGGTTTTGTCCACCCTTAATTCTTGTGGAAAGGTAGGTTGTAGGTACATAATGGCATTTACAGATAAAACCGAATGCTAAGGAGTCAATGTCTTCTATCTACACATTTAGATCTCTGGTGTTGGTCCCCTGCCTCCCTTCTGTCTATGACTTTTTTTTTTTTTTTTTGGTAATTAATGCTACTCTTTTGTGGTATTGAATGATGGACGTGACTGTAGACCCTTCTCAACATTGAGATTAATATTACCATGAACAACCAGAAAATCTTGATGCTGGTCATCAATAATTATCTAATATGAATACTTGTCAAGGTGTCTATCTGTTGTTCAAGAGATTTTTTCCGAAGTCCCCATATTTTGAGCTGAAATTGGAGTCTTTTATGTTAATGTATTGTAGTTGTACTTCTGTTTTAAAATGAGTTTGATAAGAGGATTTGAAGACAAAAGGATAAGTGAGAATGATGGATCCATTTTCTTTCAAAGAAATGCAGATTTGTGGGGGGGGGGGGGTGCAAAAAAAGAGGAAGGAATGATCCTTTTCCCTTTCCCCTTTCCCTCTCCCTTTTAAAGAATGAAACCCTTCCAAAGTTGGGGGAATTTACAGAATAAACACAAGACTTATCCCTTCTCTCGCCTTCCTGTTTCTTTACCATCCAATCAATCTGTACGTATTCAATCTTGGCAATGATACTTTAAGCTGAAATGGTGAGTCCCATGTTATGCAGTGTGAGAGGTTACCATTTATCCAGTTTCTATTATTTGTGGTGTTTCACATGAGGTACTTTCCATGAGTCATGAAAGATTTTCATATCAACATGCATAGGTCCCAATAATCGTCAGTCTTGCATGATAATTATTATCAGCAATTCCACAACACAAAATTTCTTGTCTGATAGTGATTTAGTGAATAAACATCTGATATTTTCTTTTGTTAATCTTCATTGTATCCTCAGAAACGAGGAGCTCAGCTAGTTGTGCTTGAAGGAAAGAATAGGAATGTTTGGGAAAATGTGTGGTCCACATCTTGCTTGGATTTGCACTTGATGTCCTCTGGCGCTGCTCGGGCCATGGTACATGCTTGGTTGCTAAACATTCGCTCTGTTGTTTTGGAAGGACATGAGCTGCCAAAGCTGTTGAGGTAAGTAGAAGTGATTTTTTTTTTCCCAATCTTCTGTAATCTTTCTCCATATTTATTATTTTTGTATCATACACAAGCCTCTAGCAAGTATTTTCATCTCATCGCCCTTTTGTTTAATAATTAATACAAGTATTGTCCAAAGTAACATCCATCAGTAAATACTAAAAAATAAAATAAATAAAGATAGAAGACTCATAACCCTTAATAATAAGAGATTAGGTAACTTTATTATGAGCAGTTTGCAGATGTCTTATGGATGGATTTTTGTAAAAATTAAACCAATGCGTGATTCATGATCAAAATTGAAAGTTTGAAACGCTTTGATTATAGGTGGCTTTGTGTAAACCAACAGAATTGTTACACGGTGACAGTATATAGTTTAAATGATATAAAAACTTAGTAGAGTGTTTAGGAATTGTATATCAAGTATATTATTATCAATGAACTTTTGTGAACTTCGGCCTCAAACCATCACTAGGGAACTGATTATATATCCCTAGTTCTATAATCACCATCATACTTACAAGCTCCCTTTTGTATTTTCATTGCTTACCAGTATTCTGACTGGTTGGGGAAAACACAGCAAAGTTGTTGGTGATGGAGCACTGAAGCGAGCCATTGAAGGGCTGCTCAGTGGCATAGGTGCTCCTTTCCATTTGGCAGAGACCAACCTTGGGAGATTCATATCACAGGGAGCAGCTGTCACTACCTGGTTAAAGAAGTCTGGCACCCTTCAGGTGTTACTACTTCAGGATGTTAGAACTCAACCTGAAAACCGAAGATTGGATCAAAGGCCTAATTTGCAGCCCCTCCCTCTGTAGTAGCTTCTGAATCTGTATACCGTGCATCTGCTTCTGCCGATCTACGTTTTGTGCTCACCTATTTACTCCTTGATCCAGTGGTAACTCTGGTAAGAGCTTGGCTTTGTGACTGACAATTCACAGGGAATTGGGGTGGACTTCCCTCAAGATTCCGGACTTTCACTGGTTTGCAGACTGTGGTAGACCTTTCTGCAGTTTCCAGGCTCGTCACATCTCCTTCCCAAAAAATATCTACTGTGTTTATACCCTGTAATTAATGTGATTTATCTAGGTATCGGCTAATGCTTTCTCTCGTTATCTTGCCCTTCCCGCTACATATATGGGCGAATTTTGTGCTACAATGTCGCCCATTACATGCAAAGCTCTGGCTGCATAGACAGTTGCCTGGTGACATGGTTTTCGATTATTCGAAATTTTTTCAACTCCTAGCTTCACCAGTAGCATGGTATGGTAGTCTTTGGCCTTCAAACACTGGTCAGCAATTAGATTTCGTCTGGGGCTCTTTTATGTACGCGTGATGCATAAAAGATGATTTGTAATTGAATGAAACGGAAAAATAAATGTAACAGTACACTGTTTCATTTATATGTACAGCAATGCTAGAGTATTAGGGAGTAATGTAGATATTGTACCTTGTTCTTCTCTTTTCAAAGCAGGCACAAATCCAAGCCACTTTTACGCAATACTTCAAGGTTGCTAAGCACAAGTTCTATGACGATTGATCCTAGAATTAACTCTACATTCTCTAGTATCTCTACCATCTTGCTGAGTTTTCTAGAGCATATAATTCCATGCAAATAGTAAGAAATTAGGCCTTTCTATTGTATATCACAATGTTTTGTATTGGTGAAATACAAAGCCATAAATGTTGTAACATAGATAGAATTCAAGTATGGGTCATTTTATTGGGCATTACAATTTGGTTACGAAATATAGAGTTCCACCACTTTTGTATACTAGTTCTGTTATTTTGGTATTTTACACTACCATAACAAAAACCTTATTTTCCCAATTTCATTTTAGTTGACACACTCTGATTTTGGACATTATTTATATAACTATAATTTCCTTTTGTGTTTTATATGTGAAAGAAAACATAGTGATGAAGAGTCTTAGTATATACTTTCTTTGTCTTATTTTTTTGTCCCATTTGACTTTTCACGGTCTCCAAGATGCGTCTTAAAATGCACATATCTTCATTTCCATCCACATAAAAATTATAAAAATGTAATATTAATAAAATATGCAATTAGACGAATCTAATAATCACTGATGACTATATTATCTTTATAGGATTAATGGTAATTTACGGTCAAACTTTATAATATTTGACCCAATAAATAACAATGGGGCAAAAATAAAGAGACAGAGGGAGTGAGAAAGTTAGTAATTTAGATAATGAAGACCCAACAGTTGTGTATACTCATTAACATTTAGGAACAAAATAATTCCTCAATAAAGTTTCTAGGACATACTTCTCTTCCAAAATTGAAAAAAAAAAAAAATTAGACCCAATGCAATATTATACTCTCTACATCTATAAACAAAACCCTTCCACAGACCCCCAAAACGCAAGACTCTATACAAAGTACTAATGCATATCTGCAGAGATTACAATGATCAAACTACAGTCATGAAACACTTAAAAACAGAAGGCATTAGCCGAAACATGGGCGGCGCATATCAGCATATGCATTCATTAGCGTGCACTGATTTGCCCACCATCGCATCACTCCCAAACACCCACATTGGACACAAGATGGACACCCCAAAATGCATTCATCTAAGAGCAATGAATCACTCTATCATGGATCATAGTCCTGCATGAAACAAAGAAAATCAGTACAGATTTTGCATGTTGTTGGCTGGAGCATAATTTTACCCTAGGTAGATTTTGCAAAGAAAAACGTCGTGAAACAATTGAACATGCATTTTATATACTACGTAAATGAAATGCCAAACAAACAATAAGCTCAAGTACAGGTTATGAATAAAGCAACTGCAGAACACACAGCAACAAATCAAATTAAGTTTCAGTTTATGCAAGGTAGAAGCCAACATCGCAACAATAAAAGACCTAATTCAACTGATCGAAGAAGTAGCCATCAACAAAAAGTACCTACTGATAATCACAATTCACTCAAGTTACAAGAATATATATATATACACATAATGGTTGCATTCTTCCTTTTTTCAAAGTTTAATACGAAGTACATCTCATGCTCTTACTCTATAAAAGCACACGTAATAATTTATTAAACTTGTAGCAACGAGAATAAACATATGAGAAAATTAAGCTCCTGTTAAGTAATGAGAACATTACATGAACATTTGGACATAAACATTGAATCCTAAGTTACAAATTACAAAAGGAGCAAGGTGACATTTGCAAAATGCTCCCTGAACAGCAAATAATTTGAAATTTTAATCAATCAAACTGGACAAATCATATAAACATATAATGGTTCAGCCATAATCAGTAGCTAAACCAAAGCCGTGAAGCCACAAGAATACTAGATTCAATATATGAACACGAGTAATTAACAAACATACTCAAAGGCAAACATCACTTGTTAACCCTATGATCCAATGTTTCTCTAAGATCCACCATGAAAAAATTACTCAAAATCCATTGCTCACACTGAAGCAGCAAATCACTTAAGCATATAAGAATAAGACAGCACATCAAAGTAAACAAAAAATATCAACAATATGCCTTGGAACCCAAGTAGCTGATTGTTAAATAAGCAGAATTCAAAGAAATAAGGAGGTTATAAAAGTGATTACAGCCCGTTTACATGATCGCTGATATACAAACAATTGGAGGTTAAATTAAAAAAAAAACACACACACCACACCACACACACACAATCATTTACAGACATTGCAAGAAAAAAAAATGGAATTATTTATATACCAAGAGCAAAAAAAAGCATTTACATAGATCCTAGAGGTCATATAAGTAGATATAAAGAAAAATCTCACAGGTTACCAGAACAGTCATGATACAACGAAATCAACAAGAGCAGCAAACTCAATTTCAGCAAGCAATAGAAGAGACATAATCATTCATGAAGTCCTTTGAACCCCCAGAAAAAAGGTAGGGGGTTTGGAAATATTACTTGCTCATATTAGGCAGTGGTCAAAGAGCTGTAAAGCTGAGATAGTGCTACTTGATTGGCAGGATCAACATTCTCACTTATAACTTGTCCATAACTCTCAGTGGAAAAGTACGAAAGATTGCTTAAAAAGCTAACAAAAACTGCTTTGGATCTTTGACTTCCTTGAGTGGATCATCATCTCTTTTATTAACATTATAAAGGCGTATAAATGCAGCAGATAGCTTCCTGTCTCAGCAAAATCTGGAACTTCTGATTCCTCCTATACTCTTTCTTCTTCTGGCCTGGTAACAAGAGTAACAATGCTATCTAACATTTTACCCAAACTTTAGAAGATTCAGGTTTTAAAAGGGCAGGACATTCACACAGGAGTTTTGTTGAAGCCACTGCAGTTAGCTTAGTCTCAATGGCACCTGTGATCTGCTTAAGATTTGGAACCCAGAACAGCTCCAAAATTGTAAGAAGAATACCAGGCTGTACACGGTCAAAGCCCTCAAAGGCATCAACAAGATTATTCCAACCATGCTTGACTATAATGAGAGACATAAAATATGATAAAGCACCTAACAAACTTTGGGGTCCGGTTATTCTGGAGATGGTTAAACAACAAAGACAGAAACTGTGGAAGATATCCAGCAATTGCTTCGTACCCAAGGTTCTCAACAACCGTGTTGAGCACAAAAAAAGCTTGCTCCTCTGTCCTGGAGTTAGGAAGAAGCTTCTTGTATATAATAGCACCTTATCTAGCTCAAGTTCATTGGGAACCATCCGAAGGAAAGCCTGAAGCAAACGCACTAGAGCTGGGACATCAGCAGATTTGGTCCACGGATCAGGAAGCAAAAGATAGTTACAGAATTGCATGTAGTTTTGTGGCAAGGGGGGCCTGTTCAATTCAACAAGCTGTGCCAGGAGCTGGAATGCATATGGGAAGAATTCAATGACATTGTTTGCCAGAATTGTCTCAAGGCTTGGAAAGAGGCTGGTTTCAAACAGTGAAATGACAGAGGGTTCCTTGTCACAAACCCGTCTAATAAGCACAGCAAAAGTCTCAAATAAATAGTGATTGAATATAGGATTTTTAGGGTTCTTGCACACTTTGTTGAGAATGGAAGCCATCCCAGACATGCAAGTAGCAGCAACATGACCGGAAACATCCGCACCACCAAGTACCCGCATGATACATTTCATAACATATTGATTCTCCTCAGATTCAGGAAACTTCAGCGAAATAAAAAGGTTATTCAACAGCACAGGGAGAAAAGGTGCAATATCAGATGCAACATATCTAGCTCTACCCCCTTCATCTTTAACCAGTAGAACCTTGTCAATGAAAATAGCAGCATAAGAGTGGATCACATTTGACTCAGCACCAAGGAATCGTAACACTTCAGGAAGCAAGGCCATCACACTGGACTTTGGAAGCTGATCTCTGAATACTGTCAAAAATTTAAGTGCACAAGCCTTGAGCAATGGATATGAATTAACATCTTGACTCTGGAGCACGGGAACAACCACCAATGAAAAGAAAGATTGCAGATTGAAACAGCCCGTCAAGACATTAGGGCCTGTCGCTTTTACAGTACTTAGTGATGTAACCAAATAAATAGCAGTCCTTGTATTTCCAACATGGTCTGTATGACATTTTTCACCATGAAAGAAACCTTCTCTCTGTAGTGAGTTGCAATTCCTTTGAGAAGCTCACATGCAGCTCTCCTCTTAGTGTCAACATCACTCCCTTCCATATCCCGTCTTATAAACTCAATATAGTTAAACTCAAAGAGCTCTTCATCTTCTTCATGCAGCATCACATTTGGGATGACAATGCTTCGACATATCTGATCTAAAGAAGCATCATTAAAGAGCTTGTAGTGGTGTGCCATTGTGCTGACCATTGTCAAGAACTTGATAGCAGTTATTGCAAGATGATCACGGCCTGGAGATCTAGACACAGTGATAAGGAGGCCTCGCACTGCTTTCTCAAATTCACCCACATATCTTCCAAAAGGCTCCTCAGTCCTCTAGACATAAAGGGTCAAAATTTCACAGATGGCTGCACGAAGATTATCAACAAGAGCTCGCTCACCTCCTTGTTCAAGGGATGGGTATGTAGTAGTTAGATATTTTCAAAAAACATGGTTCCATATTATCTTAAAAGAGGTCAGGCAACTCTTGAAAGTTGAAGGAATAAAAGATTGTACAACACAGCCTCTGTGACTCAAATAGAGGCTTTAAATTAGCCGCGGAAGCACCAGAACTAACACCAGAGTCAATCACAGATGCAGTATGGGAAAACAATCGCAACAATGGAACAGCCATATTATCCAAACAATACCTTAAATCCAACCTCAATTCATTTGTCCCATACCCATGTCGAAACTTCTTAAATAATGTGTTGGCAGTCCCAAGAATCCCATTTATACCACCCTCGTTGAATGCTTGCTGAAGCCTATTATTGAGCATTGGAAGCAACTCCGTCCACTGCCTAGGAAAATCATGTTTGCCAATGACTACAATGCCTCACTGAGCTGAGATTGGATACGAGGTGTTGACTCCAACATCAAAGACACAATATGTTCTTTAATGCAAACTTTTGTGATTGTTTAATGGAGGAAGTAGTATAAACTATAAAGATATACAGTATTTCCAACATACTTAGATCAAGCGACAATAATAATTTACATAAAGAAAGAAATTTATAAATCAGATTAAAATAAACAATTGGGCAATCCCATAAAACCCTTCAATCAATCTTCTTCCCTCACTCAAATTTCAAAAAGTGAGTTTACAACTTACTAAAATTCACTCATTCATCAACCTTTGAGCGTACACAAAAAAAC